CCCTGGCTAGAGTGCAGTGGCATCATCATAGCTCACAGCAACCTCAAACTCCTGGGCTCAAGCAATCCTCCTGCTTCAGCCTCCCAGGAAGCTGGGACTACAGGTGCATGTCACTACACCCAGCTAAGTTTTCTATTTTTTGTAGAGGCAGGGTCTTGCTCTTGCTCTGGAACTCTTGATCTCAAGCAATCCTCCTGCCTTGGCCTCCCAGAGTGCTAGGATTACAGGCATGAGCACATTTCCTTTTGTGTTCAAATAAATTTTAAAATTACAAAATAGTTTGACATCTTTTCTCTACAGACCTAAAAAGGAGGCAAGGCAAAGACTGTTAATTTTGATTTACAAATGGAACAACTGAGGCCTCATTCAATGACTTGCTCAAGTAACACAAAGAATGAGTGGCAGAGCCCCAAGCCCGCGTGCTGTTCCTCTATGCCAGGCTGCTTCTCTTGGGCATGGCTGACCTTGTGCTTTGGACATTTCCTCTTCCTTGATGTGTCCTGGGTACCTTAAGCAATTCAGATATTGCATATGTCGGGTGAAGAGGAAATGTGTTTGCAGGTTGTATTAGTTAAAACAAAAATACCACAGATTGGATGGCTTTAACAGCATAAATTTATTTCTCACAGTTCTGGAGGCTGGGAAGTTCAAAATCAAGGTGGCAGCTGATTACGTTCCAGCTGAGGGCTCTCTTCCTGGTTTGCAGGCGGCTGCCTTCTCTCTGTGTTGTCACATGGTGGGGGGGGCGGGGAGAGAGAGTGCGTGTGCTAGCGACACTTTTCTTACTAAACTCACCCTAAGGGCTGCACCCTGATGACCTCATCTAACCTAATTATCCACCCAAGGTACCCACTTGCAACACCATCACATGGGGGTTAGAGTGTCCACATGTGAATTTCAGGAGGACACAAACATTCAGTCTGCAACATAGGTGGAAACCCACCTCTTCCTCACCACTTGTGGGAACCATATGCTGCAGCCGTCCAGACAGTGACATGTTCTTGTTACAACTCAACCTAACTCCCCCAGAAGAGGGTGCAAGGAAGGAGGACAAAACTGGAAGAGTGGGAGAGTATGAGGAAGGGAATAGAGTTGCCAGATTTAGCAAACAAAAAATAAAATGCCTAGTTAATTTTGAATTTTAGACAACAAATAATTTTTTAGTATAAGTATGTTGTATGTCATCTCTACACTTAGTTGGGGACATACTTATGCTAAAAAAATATTCATTGTTCATCTGAAATTCAAATTAACTGGGCGTCCTGTATTTCTATCTGGCAACCCTAAAAGAGAAGGACCAAAAAGTCTTGAGGCAAGACAGTGGATTCCAGGAGGAACTACTGCTGGATCTCTCGACTGATGCTTCCTTCATATAATTAGCTTTTTTAGACTCTTTTTTTCTTTTTACCAGCTTATTAGCTTTTTTGGATGTGTGTGGTGAAATATACATAACAGGAAATCGACCATTTTAACCATTTTTAAGCGTCCATTTAGTGGCGTGAAGTCCATTCGCATCGCGTCATCCATCTCCGAAGTGTTTCATCCTCTTAAACTCCGTGCGCACTAAACACTCCCTGCGCAGCTCCCGCCCTGCTTCCCGCCCCGGCAGCCACCCCTCTGCTCCGAATGTGACTGTTCCAGGAGCCTCAGGTGAGTGGAATCACAGGACGTCTGTCCTTTGCGTCTGGCTGCCGGATCACCCCTGTAAAGGGGGTGGGCGGGAACTCCGGACCGGGAGCGCCCCGCAGAGGTACAGGCGGGAAGACCGGGCGAGTGAAGCGACCAGAGCAGGAGGGGGTGTGTGGCGGGAGGGGGCGCGGCTCCGCACCTGAGCTGGGCGTCCTGCGCCGGCGCACCTGCCGGGCGCGGGTTGACCGCAAGAGCCGAGGGCGGGGGGACAGACGGGGTGTGAGCCTGAGGGGACGCAGAGAGGGGACAGGGGCGTGGGAGGACGGTCTGCAGCGCTGGGGGCGCGGGTGGGGATGGCCTGGCGTACGGAAGACAAGGGATCGGGCCGCGTGTACGTCGGAAACTCAGAGGGGGCGGGCGGAACTCTGCTGCGGGGGCGACTCTGCGAGTCCGGGGAGCGGTCCGGGTCTTCGGGTCCGGAGCCGCGCGGGAGGCTGTCGGGGCATCGGAAGGGGCGGCGCTAGGACCCGGAGGCGCGGGCGGAGCGGCGGCGATAGCGCGCATGCGTGCGCGCACAGGGGCGGAGCGGCGTGCCGCGGCCGGCTGCTGGTGGGGCTTCAGGGGCGCGCGGCATCCGGGGGCGGCCTGGCAGCGGGTGGGCCCTGGGGGCTGGTGGGTGGGTCCCAGGCCAGGGTCCGGCTGGGCGGCCCCCGAGCCCTTTTCTGGGCGGGAGGCCGGGCGCGGAGCCGTATCCGCTGCCGCTGCCCTCGCGGGGACTGGAGCGAGCGAGCGCCCGCAGAGGCGCCTGGGCCCGCAGGCCCCGCGCCCGGCTTCGCTTCCGCCTCTGTCGGGACCTTGCTGTCCGCCCGAAGATGCGTCTTCGTCCTGCTTCGCGTGTCGTCTTCCTGGACCCCTAACTGCGCGCGACGAGGCAGAGGCCGCCTGGGTGCGGGGACCGCGGGCTCCAGGACCCGCTCCCTCCCTTGCCCGCCGCCTGGGACAGTTACGCGCCTTCCCTCCCTTTGGGTCCTGGTGCTGGGAACGGGCTGAACCGAATCCTCTCGCGGTTCTTTTGCAGCTCCCGTCGCTACTGAGCGGGCCGCTGGCCCCTTTTAGTGGACCCCTTGCTGCTTAAGCCCTGCTTGGTGCCTGGGGCCTACAGCTGAGGTTCTCAAACTTGGGGTCGAGCGCCTGGCGCGGAGTATCAGAATGGTTTGCAGGAAGGGTGCCCTGCACTTCCGAAATTGTAAACCGCATTATGAGAGAGGGGTATGGTGTAGTTCATTTTTCTGGGAGCTCACATAGTTCTTCCCAGATTCTGCAAGGCAGCGCTGTCCTCTACAACTATTATGTATACATTATCAATATATATAATGTTTGTCAATTAAAAGAATCTGGAAAAAAGCTTGAACACGGCATACATGCCAGAAAAGCACCGTCATTAAAGAGTATTTATGTATTTATGGAATCCATTAAAAAGTAACAATATTGCATGAGCAGGAAATACCACAGACCTAGAGTGAATTGCAGTCATCTATTATGGAACTGAGGAGTTAGGATTTCTAAAACTCCCTAATAGAAGACTACTGTTAAATTTTTAAACTTTTTTAAACTAAATCCCCTGTATCTTCTTAGCTGTTTGTGGTGTCTTTCCACAAAATAAGAGATTATGCATCATCTGTTTAGATGAGCACCACAGGCTTTTCAAAAGATAATTGTCAAGTAACCTCTTTGTGTCTGGGTTTTCTCATTCGTAAGAATAGATCATAATACATAACTCCAAGCTTTGTTGTGAAGATGAACAACTGGGGTGATGTCTGCTAAAGTAATGAAAGTGTTTTCCACACAGGAGGGGCTCAGCTAGTGTGAGATCCCCTTGTTCTTCCCTTAATATGGAAAACATCTAGTCTAGGTTTACGTAAGGACAGACTATCAAGATAAGGTGTCTTACAATTGGTAGTAATAACAAAATTTTTGGACTCTTAAGATTTGCTTTTTTAATGTATAAAAACAATAAAACATACTGATAAGTAACACGCGCTCTGAATTCAGACAAGATAGGTTCAAGACTGGGCTTGATCACAAGCTAGTGTTTTGATGTTGACAAAAATGTTACTTGGTCCGTCCCGTTATCTAAAATTGGGGATGATGATAAATTGACATACTAAGAATTAAATGAGATGATTCTTGAGAAGGAGTTAGAATGGTTCTAATACAGGCATTATTAGCTAATATTAGTAATTAGTAGTAGCATTGTAGCATGATAAAATACTATTTACAGAACGAGGGACAATAAGACTGTCTTCATGATAATCATAAGAACTATCAAATGTAGGAAGGAAGAGGCAATGAAGTTATGATTAATTTTGATGATTAGGCCTGAATCCATTCTAGGATATCTCTTGCTTGAAAACAGGAACATAGACTCATTTCTTTAGAATCACAGGAGACAGATCACTTCTTGGCCTTTTGGCTAAGATCAAGTGTAGAATCAAAGGAGACTGAGTGAAAAAGGAAAGAAAGAAAAATATGTAATAGTAAAAAGAAACAGGTGAAATTAGTAGTACATTTTCTTGATCCCAAAATATCTATCCAAAAACAAGTATATCAGCATATAATCAATATAAAAATTTTAATGAGATATTTTATATTTTTTCCTAAGTCTTTGAAATTCGGTGTGAATTTTACACTTAAAATACATCTCGATTGGGACTAGCCACATTCTAAGTGCTCAATAGCCAGTGTAGCTGGTGGCTACCATATTGGTAGCACAGGTCTAAGGATTTCATTCCTGGCTCAAGCCCAGGTTCCTAGCCTTGGTATTCAGTGTTTTTCAAAAACTGGCCTGTCTTTATCATTCTTTTTCTTAATACTTTCCCAAGGACGATTACACCCTCACACTCAAGACCACTTGCCATTCTCCTACACACCTTTTGTTCAACCTGTTCCTTTTACCTGGAATGCTCTCTGCACCTGTCTCCCCGGGCCTGGTAGAGAGATACAGATTCTGCTAAGAGGCTATCACATGAAGTTTCATTGTTTCTGATGCATCTTCTTGGCTAGTGTAGTGTCTTGTTCATCTTTCTTGCACTCCTGTCCTGTGCTTAATAGATGATCAGAAGACATTTGCAGACAGAAAGGGTAAGCCACTAATCAGCTGTATTTAGTCTCTTAATTCTTTTTCTTTTTTTAAATAGAGACAGGGTCTTGCTCTTTTCCCAGGAAGAGTACAGTGGCATCATAGCTCACTGCAGCCTCAAACTCCTGGGTTGAAGTGATCCTTCTGTCTCAGCCTCCCAAATAGCTGGGATTACAGGCACATGCTACCACGCTTGGCTAATTTTTCTTATTTTTTGTGGGATGGGATCTTGCTATGTTGCCCAGCTGGTCTAAAACTCCTGGCCTCAAGGAATCCTCCTTCAGCTTCAGCCTCCCAGAGTGCTGGAATTATAGGTGTGAGCCACCGTGCCTGGCCAAGTCTCTTAGTTGTTGAACAGACTTGCTCCTTCCTTGTTTAGGAACTTGTGCCCTCTCCCACGTGTGCCTGCACAAACACACACACATTCAGATGTGGTAACCCAACAAGGAATTCATCTCCAGATATGCGCAGAAAGTATCATCTTTTTCCCGCCTCCAAATCTTACAGCTGGGAGGCCCAAGGCACAAACTAAGTCAGAAATGACAGGAGATCTGCATCAGTATAAATACAAAGGAGAGCAGGAGAAAGAAAGTTCCTGAAAGGCATGTGCTTGTCTCAGTGGGTCAGGTGCCTGAGATGGTTGGGGAGCAGCTGGCCATGCTTTGCTTATTTGACAGGAGGGAAGAGAAGTGGGGAGGGGAGGAGTAACTCCTGGGCCCTGATGAGCATTCAGGGCAGGTGCAGGTCTGGGACGCTGGGGGTGTCCTGCCTGGGAGCGCAAGTGCAGAGGAGGAAGTCGCTGCTGGAGAGAGCTGAAGAGCAGAGTGGTCATCTCAGAGCATGAAAAGTGGTGGCCTCAGGAGGGTAGGAGAGAACCAGGAAGGTAGAAGGATGGGCTGGAGAAGCCAGCAGGAGGAACAGGAATAGGCTCCAGCTTGTTGAAGATGTTGGTGTGATATATTCGTCTAATATACACATTATTATCTTTGGGAATAACCACTTCTTTAAAGAGTAGTGTCAGTTCTCAGTCTGGAGAATGGGAAATGGAAAGAATCAGAGATTCAGAGAGGGCAAGCAACTTCTCCAAGGTCACATAGCACTTTAAGCCCAAATGAAGCCTCCTAGGCCCTTCCTGCCATACTTAGCCAGCCCCACCCACACCTCCATTGCAACCAAGGGCCCCAGTGTGGTGCCTGGGGAGTAGGTTTGGGCACAGTGCCAGGCCTCGCTAGTGTCTTGCTCATGGTCTTTCAGTGAGGCAGTGTGATTAGGCCTAATTACAGGGGCCTGATACCTTAATACCCTGCCTGGCCTGAGTCTTTCCAATGAAATGAGCGCCCTCTGCAGGTGATTGCTGCTGTAGTGGCATCAGGGAGAGGAGTTATTTAGACCCAATAGAAATAGACTCTGCCCTGACCTTGCAATTCAAGGAGTGTCTCTGCTTCCTGTCCTCTGTCCCCACGTGTACCTTCTCTCTCCTGGCCCCTTAGCTCTAGCTAGTGTGAGCAGAGCCTGGACAGTCCTTTACCTACAGTCACTCGCCACTGCCTAGTCTGTGTCAGGAGCAAGCCCCAAGTTCCTGGGGGTTCCAATTGGAAGAGCCCAAGAGTGCACACTTTCTGTGCTTTTCCAGATCGAGCACCATTTGGTGGTTGATTCAGGCAGTGCCCTCGCCCTCCCCCATCCATCCCTCTGCTTCCAGCCTCTTTTTCACTCTGTGGCCAGGGTTTCTTTCCCGTTTCTCCACGTGTGGGGAGTTGAACGGAGACCATGTGTGGAAAGGGTCCCTGCAGGTACCATGCACCTTTTAGGGAGACAGGAAATGTCGCCCCTTCTCTGAATTCCTCTGTTGTCCCTACCAACTCCGCAGTCCCTGGTCCTGCCCTCTCCCTCCCTCATTCTCTCAACAGGCATCAGCTGCTTCCTGCCTCCTGTGAGCTCCTGGCCCCACCAGATGCTCTCTGCCCTGTGCAGGCGGGTGGGATGAGGGCTGTGCTGTCTCTCGACACCACCTTGCCCTGTGCTGGGTGGGTGGGGTGAGCGTGGGGTGGTCCCGATGCTCCGCTTCCCCCACACAGGCACCATGAGTCCCGTGAGGACCCAGCACTGCTTGGCAGGTCAGACGTACGCGGTGCCCCTCATCCAGCCAGACCTGCGGCGGGAGGAGGCCATCCAGCAGGTGGCGGATGCCCTGCAGTACCTCCAGAAGGTCTCTGCAGACATCTTTAGCAGGTAGGTGCTGTCCCCACCCCCACCTGCTGAGAGGGCTGCACCCTGTCCTGGCAATCCTCTCTCCAGTCCCAGGAACACACCCTCTGGGAACAGCCCCTTTGGTGGTTCTTGGTGCTGGGGGACCCAGCTGGCTTCCCTGTGCAGGAGGGGTCCAAGGCAGGAGCCCAGTGTGGAAGCGTTTTCTCCTCAGTGCCTGGGAGCTCACTGCCTGCTGTCCCCCTTGGCATCTGGCTTCCTGTGGGTCCCTGGGGCCCCAGTGGTGCCTCTGCTCTCCCAGCTGGTGCTCGTCCTCCCATCGTGGGGCCCTGTTCCTTCATTCATCCCTGCAGCCGGCAAGCGTTTACCCAGCACTGCTGTGTGCGAGGCGCTGTGCTGTTCTCTGTAGATGCAGCAATGCGTAAGGCAGCGGCCCTGTCCAGCTCGAGGATGTGCCTGGCAGGAGAGACAGACTTAAACTACCACTCGCATGATTAATTATTTAATTACAATTGTGAAGACCTATTTATTATATTTTTGTGATTACTGAAATTTATATAGCATTAAGTATGCACCACCATTGTTCTGAGCGCATTAACTCATTTACGCTTGCTACACTGTATGAAAAGGTCCTGTTGTTACCTCCGATTTATAGATGAGGAAACTGAGGCACAGAGAGGCTGAGAGACTTGGCCTTGCGGCAGAGCCAGAGTTCAGACCAGGTTGTGGCCCAGATTCTGTGGGGTTGTTGGCTTCTGTCTGTGAAGGGGACATGTGCTATGGGACTTGTGACGGAGACTTGGCTTGGTCTAGGGGGATCAGGGGAGGCGTATGTGAGTGAGTGTGTAGGTTGGGAAGAAGAACGTTCCAGAAAGAAAGGGCATGCGCTGACACCCGGCGGTGGGGAGGACCTGGAAGGTGCGGGTGTGCCTGGAGCGAGGAGAAGCTGGTAGGGTGGGTGGGGCCTCAGGGCCACTGGCGGTTCTGAGCTGGAGAGCTGCAGCGGCTTGTGTCTCCAGCGCC